CACTGTCTTCTCAATCACCCCCAAAGCCCTCCTGCTACAGCTGAAGCCTGCCCCTATCAGCAAGGTGGGGGGCAGTTGCTGTGGATTAGCATCCACAAAATCATTAGAAACTATAAATAAAAATCTCCCAGGCGGCATAACACGCTTCCCAGGTCCTACACCTGGCCCAGGGGGAGGGGGTCTGCTTGAAAGTGGGTGGGGTCCTGTCCCAGGACTGTAACAAAGTCCCTGTCATTACTTCATTCATTTCATATCCTGATAGTCCTAAGGGATCAAGTCTCACTCTATTCGTCTTCCAAATGAGGAAGCTGAGACCCAAACTCACCCACCCACGGGATGTGCCTCCGCCATAGGATATACGTCAAGCATCCAAGCCAAGCCCTCCGTCCCGGCTCTCCTCAGCCCCTTCTGAAGGGGCGTCCTCACTGCACAACCTCTGAGGTCCAGAGTCCCAGGAAGCTCTGCTCTAGGGACCACTTTTCCTGGCAGAGGTTTTTCAGGAACACGGCAGGAAATCACATTAGCAACTCAGGCTCGGAGGGGTTGAGACCCAGCGAGGTGTAAATGGAGACAGGAGAGAGACAGAGGGAGGAAAGGGGCCACGCAAATGGGGAGGGTCTTTGAGCGCCTGGCAGCAGATGGCAAATCTGGAGACCCCATGCACACCTCCAGTCTGGAGCTGGTACTTAATTACCTTTTATTAAATTTTCCACAAATCCGCGCTGCAAAGCCCCTGGGTAATAACAATGTCTGGGAGTCCAGAATGGCGCGACGCCCCAGGTTCGTTCACAGGCCCCGTGAACAAGAGGAGCACAGAGTGTGGGAGCCGCTTCACCACCACCTGCCAGCAGCTGCCCCGTCCTGCCCCCGACAGGGGCTGCGCCTGGGGGTTTGGTTTGGGGTGAGGTGAGTCACTTATCAAGCACCTACTATATGCTGGGCACTAGACCGGGTGCTTTACAGATGTCACTGCTTTTCTTTCTAACAACTGCCCTCCGAGACTGTCCTTTTGTCCCTGTTTTTTCCAGATGAAGAGGCTGCATAATCGGCCCAAGCCACCCAGCCAGCTGTTAGAATCCAGTTTTGCTTGGTCTTAAAGAACCTCCTTCCCCTGTACCTACAGTATATTTATTGGGGGACAAGCAGAGACTGAAAACAGGGGCACTCTCTCCATACTGGGCTTCTGTAGGGAGGATGGGTGCTCATAAGTGGATTTTCTCTACCGAGGCTGAAAGGGGAGAATCGGGCTAAAATGTCTGGGGGGCAGCCTCTGCGTGACTCCTCAGGCTGGAGGCTCAGGCGGGGTTCTAGCCTGATCTCTCAGCTGCCACATCTGAGATGCAGTCTGACAAACAGCAAACCAGCTGGGGGGGGGGGGGGTTACAGTGCAGAGAGAGTCCGAGAAGGCTGCCAGACATCAAGAGATGACCAGTATCACCGGGACAGACGGCCAGCCACACGCAAGAGATGGCCAGAGACAACCTTTGAGATGGTTAGCGACACCCTGAGAGGTCATCGATGACACCCAGAGAGAACAGCCAGCAACATCCTGATAGACACACAGTGACACTCTAAGAGACCCTTATGACACCCTGAGAGACAGTCCGTGACCTCCTGAGTGAAAGTCACCATTAAACTGCCGAAGCAGCTGGGGTACCTGAAGGACAAATGGACACAGCCAATTCCTGGGACCTGACCAGCACTCTGTCCCTGTCCAGTTTGGAGACCTCAGACCAGCAGGTACCCTGAAGAAGGTGGCACTGGGCAGAGGCCACTCTGCTGTACCCTCAATGACCAGAATTCAATAAGTAGTGTCCAGCCAATTGTGACCAGACTCTGCAAGACACACCATGTCCAAAGAGGCAGCATGTCAGACTTTCTGTCCCGATGCCTTTCAGGATGGCGCAATGAGTTCTCCTTGCCTGGTCCCCACTGCCAAGTCCCCCAGCCCTGGACACCCCCTCTGGGGCTCTTCCTCTCCGCTGCCTGGGTTTTCTGAGCTTCTCCCCACCCTGCCTGCCCCTGGCTCCTCTAAGTGTGGCCCCCAGACCTGCAATGTCAGCATCACCTAGGAGATGGCAGGAATCTTAAGAAATGCAGAATCTTAAGCCCCACCCCAGATTCATAGTCAGAAATCTTCATTTTGGCAAGAAGCCCAGATGAGTCCTAAGCACCTCAGAAGCTCTGGTCCAACCAACCCCACAGTGAGCAATGAACCCCGGCCCATAAGCCTATACCCACAGAGTCCCATTCATGTCTCACCAAGGTGTGCCCTCCCAGGATGTGCCAAGGCCCTGGCTCCCAGTGCTCAGCAGACTGTGGGAAAGGGGAACAAAGTGTGGGGGGAGGGGAGCAGAGTGTGTGCAAGCGTCATGGGAGGTGGGGGAGAGTCTGCAGCAGTGGGGGTGTCACTGCAGTGGAGGGTGACAGTGTGTATGCGGGGGTGCTGATATGGGGGCTGGGGGCCAGTGCTCGGGGGTCAGTGCCATCCCGGAGGGTTGGGCCATGCATGAGTCAAACTACCCAACTGGGGTCTTGTCCCTGATGGTGATGGGTGTGGGCAGGTCTCCTCTGTGGCCTGGCCTCTGGGCACCCTCACAAGTCCCATTTCACAGGCAGCCGGTATGCCAATCTATGATCTGCAATCCCCCCGGTGCTGGTGCTTAATTAGGGCTTAGCCAGGGCCCAGAGCTGAGAAACCAAATTGGCTGCTCCATTAATTGGAGAGTCTTCCTCCTCAGAATAGCTCTGGGAGGAAATAGGGAGTCCTGGGAGTGGGGAGGGGCCTGGTGTGTCTGGGGGCTGGCAGAGGGGATGGCATTTTCACTAATTAAATTAATTGATTACCCAGAGTGCCAGGCAATATGGGTGAGCAGGGGCTGGCCCCTGGGAAGAGTAGGTGGCAAAGCCAGGCAGGGCAGGTCGGGGTGGGGGTGAGCACTGCACCCTGGAGGGATGTGTGGGTGGCAGCCCCCATGGAGTCAGTGCCCATGTTACCTGTGGTCTCCTCATCAATGACCCTCCCACCCTCCAGGTGTGCACTACAACCTCCCTTGACCTCGGGTAAGACGACAGGCAGAGGGGTGGCATATGAAGGAGTGCCCTCCTCAGGACAAGACACAGGCAGACACCACCCTCCCTCTACCCTTTTACAGACAGACCAGGGAGCTGGGACTTGGTGGGGTCCCCATACCAGTCACCTGCCCAGAGTCAAACAGCAAGTGTGTTAGGACCAGAATCCGAACCCCAAACCTTCTGCCCCCAAAGCTCATGCAGTTCCCAGCATACTGACAAAGAGGGGACTGATGAGAAGCCTCGCGAAATCCTCCTTCTTGCTCTAACCCCACTGGTGGAGAGAGAGAGAGAGAGGAAGGGAGGGAGAGAGAGAGAGAGAGAGAGAGAGAGAGAGCACAAGCCGACAGAGAGCCCTGTGTGCCAATGGGGTGGGAGCAGCAGGGTGGGGAGAAGGGAAGGCTGAGAGCAGCTGACCTCTGCCCTTGAGTCTTTGAAGGGTGTTGGGGGGTGAAGAGCCAACTGGAAGGAAGGGGCTTAAACTAGAGCAGGAGACACCTGGGTGAACCACGGACTTGCCCTGCCATTCCAGAGGCCCCAATGCAGGGACAGCGGCTGGGAGCAGCTGGCACCTCCAGCTTTGCTGATGTCCGAGAAGGGGAGGGGTGGGGAGGGCTTGTCTGTCCTAAGGCAGAGGTTGGCGACCTGACATCCAGTTGCAGATACATCCAGTTAGAGATACATGGTCTGCCTCTGGCTTTGCAGACCCAGCAGGATGGTCAGAACACAAGGTGGATGAGATGAGGGCTAAAGACTTCTTGCCTTAGCTGTTCTGTCCCCATACCACCCCTCTCTGGGCATCACCTGTAGTCTTAATAGTTGCTGACAGCACTGACCTGCCTTCCTGAGCACAAACCCCGTTTCCCATCCTCCTACCGCTCTACTGTGTAGTATCCCCACCCCATTGATTGGTTTACTTGCCCACCCTACCCACCGGCCAAGCCTATCTCTTCTGACCCAACGATGTTTCCTGATCTGGAACCCCACCTCCCTCGTCCAATCCAGGGGGATGCCCTCCTCCCCAGCCCCAGGACTTGCCAGGTTGGCTCGCTGTGTGGGTGCTTAGCAACCTGGGAGCTATCTGTGCTCAGGTCAGTTCATCGGGGAGAGCTATACCCATCCATCCCAGACTGGGGTGGACCACATGGCCTGGCCTGTGTGATGTGAGAAGCCAGGGAGCCTCTCATCCAACATCCCACGTAACTCTCACCCTGCCAAAGCAGCACCATTAAAGAGCATGCCGTTCTTTTAGGCCCCATCTTTGCAGCTTCTGGAAGGGGACAGTGCAGCCCCAATATCTCAGTGACGTGAAGCCAGGCAGCCTAGGGGAGGGGCTAACCAAAGCACTCAGACTTAGGTGGGGTGGTGGGTGGGGAAAGCTGTTCTCCCACCATCAACCTCGCTTCACACCAAGTGCTTGGCAGTGGGCAAAGCAGAGCCTGGACTTCAAAGTCCCAGGTCCTGGGCTCTGACGCACTCTGATCACGTGACCTTGCGTGAGTCCCTCCCTCTTTCTGGGGCTCAGTCTCCCTATAGTGAGGTGGGTTGCACTAGAGTAGAGTTTCTCACTTTTTCCCCATCAGAAGGCCCCTTGGGGGCAGATTTCCAGGCCCTCTTTGATTTACTGGGTGTTGGGTGTGGCACCTGGGACTTGAATTTGAACAAATGCTCTGAGTGACTTATTCCCAGACAGATCAAGATGGGACAGAGGGTCTCCAAGTTCCCTTCCAGTTTAGATCTTTAAGGAGTTGGAGTTCTCCAAACAGCCTAGACCAGCCCCTCTCTCTTCCACGCCCCAGAAGCCTGGGGACCTCAGGCAACCTGGGGCATCCTCCCTCGGCCCTTGGCTTTCTGCTGCCTGGTTCCTCAATTCCATGACCCCCACCTTCCTCAGCACCCACTGAAGGGGAGGTGGAGGTGTAGGGAAGGGGACAAGGGACAGAGCAGCAACACCGGGAAGATAGGTATACCCGTGCATCTGCCAAATGTCATCCTTAAAAGATTATTCATTGTGGCACTGTTGGTAACAACCAAAGAGTGAGAATAAAGACTGAATAAATAAATTATGGTACATCTGCATGACGTGATATTATGTAAAAAAGAATGAAGTTGCTCTTTATGTGCTAATACAGAACAATCACCAAGATGGATAATTATATGAAAAAAGCAAGGTGTTGAACAGGGTGTATAATATGCAACGTTTCTGTAAAAACAGAAAAGGATATATGTACATAATTACTTGCATATGCAGAGAACATCTGTGGAAGAACACTTAAGAAACTGGCAAAATGGTTGCTTCTGAGGAGGGAACCCAGCGGTGGGAGGGAGCCGTTGTCTGGATTCCCATCTGTACCTTTGAATTCTGTGCTACGTGGAAGCAATATCTTCTCAAAAACATTGAAATATTTTCAAGGTTCTCCAAGGGCTTTTTAGAACTTCATTGCTTTCCCTCACCCCCATCCCTGATTCTGATAGAGCCCCCTGGCTGGACCTGGATGTGTCGCTCAGGTGGGTGGGATGGAAATGGATGAGAACCTGTACTAGTGGGTGCAGGTAGAAGGGAGGAAGGAAGGGAGGAGACAGAGCTCATTGCTACCTGAAGCCCTTTCGACACACCCTCCCTCAGGATGCGTGAGCCAGACCCCGACTGGCCACCAGCCACGTAGCAGCACAAACCCTGGCTGAGGGCCCTGGCTCACCCCTCAGAAAGGCAGCCTCTGGCCAGCCTCACCTCCTCAGTGAGGATCTCCTGGCACTCTGAGTAGTTCACGCGGGCGGCCCAGCTGCCGTTGGCTAGGCACTCCCGGTAGCCGTTATCTGGAAAAAGGAGAGAAAGTCAGAGTGACCCATGGCTCCTCTCCTAAAGAGCAGCCTGGGCATCTGTCTGTCCATTCATCTGCCCATCTATCCATCCACCTGGACCAGCACAGGGGCCTGACTGCTGGGGGGCTCTGGGGAAGCCGGGGAGAGGGACTTCAGTACCACCCCGATCTTTCGGCCTCTTTCTGTCCACTGGCCTCCAACAGGAGTACAGTGGTGACTCCAACGCCTGCCAGTGGGGCCATGGCTCTGCCCACTCAAGCTGGCACAAGCACGCCTACAGGACTAGCCCATGGGCAGGCCTGACCAGCTCACTGAGCTGTTTCTTTGCAAGCCTTTATGTGGAGGCAGATTACATGGTAGGTGCCCTTCTGAGAAATCTCCCATTTTGGGGTCTCAGCAGAAAAAGTTTGGTGAGATCTGATGAGTCAATTCTCACTCACAACGGAGTGAGGGGGCATGTGGAAGTGTATGTGGTGACAGTTCACATGGCACATAAAATGACAGGGTTTCATGGGGTGAGGTTCTCATGGGCAGTGTTTCAAATGGGGTGGGGCTCACAGGGCAGGTGTTGGGGAAGGTCCCCATGGTGGCATTTTCCCACAGCAGGCCCTATGTTGGAGGGTCAGGTGCTGGGAACGTCCATGGTGGAGGGCTCTTGTTACAGAAAACGAGATGTGGCAGGAGTGTGCTGGGAATGTCACAGGGGATGGGTCCCATGTAGCAAGTATCTCATCATTAGGATCTGCTACAGCTGGCTCCCAGCCTGGTACATGGCACTGGGGACAAAAGAGAGGACAGTGGCCATGGGCGCGGTTGGGGGGGGGGCTATGCGGCCACCAGAGTGTCATTGCCAGGGAGGATGCAATGTCCTTGTCTTTGATTGCAGCCCTGTTGCTTTCTAAGAAGATGGGGAAGGGCGTCTTTGTCTGAGGCCTGGCTTCAGGGCTATGGGATGGCTGGAGCGACACAAAGGGCCCCCCTCACTGTCCTTTCTGCCTGCTCCCACCCCAGGGCACCAGAGCCCTAAAACCCAGTAGGGAAGGGACCAAGGGAGATCCAAATCGTCTTTTCTTGCCCTGCCCTGCCCCGTGCCCTTCTCTGGCATTGGTGGCTCTAAAGATGTTTCCTTGAGTTAATTCTGGCCCAGACTCCAGCCAGCGCTGGCTGGAAGAGAATTGAGTCCTGAGCCATTTCCAGTGCAGCCTCTTTCCAGCTGCAGGCCTTTTTATGGCTCCTGTTGACCCTCACATCACAGGGGGGTAGGAGAAGGGCTGGAGAAGCGGCCTGAGTGCCAGTCCCTGAGCCTGGGGCCAGGCAGGGGCAGAGCACTGCCTGGGAGACAGGCGGGGCCCCGAGGCCAGCTTAGTGCTGCTGTGCTGCGTGAGTGACCTTGGCCAGTAGGCCTCTCCGGTCCCTCCCTCACGTGTATGAGGAAGGGCTGGACCAGCTGATCCCCAAGGTGCTGTCCAGTCTGGGTGCCGCCTCTCTACTGGCAACATCAGAACAAGGGGGAGATGATGGGGTGGGTAGTGGGTGGTGGTGGTGTGGGGGAGACGGAGATGCTATGTCCCCAAGATAGGGAGCCACAGCCTGGCTTCCGGGGCTGCGAGGCTGAGGCTACTTTCTAACCCCACTCCCCGGGCCCTCTGTTGAGAGGCTGCTCACACCACAGCGTGCCAGTGGGGAAATGAGGCTAAATGGATTTTTAAAGCTCTGCTCAGCTTCTCTGCCCGTGGACCTGAGTCTCAGCAGAGTTGAGCCCTTGGGCAGAGTTGGCAAAGATGCTGCTGATTCTCTCCTAATTGCTAAATGAGGGATAAGCTACCCAAGGGCTGAGGGCTCAGTGACAGAGTTTTCAGGGAGTTCTGGGGAGAGGCAAGGAGCCAGGCGATCCAGTGTCTCTGCCATGGACCGGAAGTGCCTGGGACCGGAGGCTGCTCTGGAATGTCTGCAAAGAAAGAGACTTGAGGGCAGAGATCTGGTTGGAAGGGGCACGGGTGGGATGGGGTGGGGTTGGGGGGAATGGCTCTGGCCCTACAAGAGGCAGCACAAAGCAGTGTTAAGAGCATAGCTCTCCACCCAGGCAGCCTGGGTTCAAATCCTGACACCACCCCTTACTACCCTTGTGACCTTGGGCAAGTCCTGCAACCACTCAGCTCTCTTCTCTGCAAGACAGGAGTGAACTTCACAATGATTCCTACCTAATGGTTGAGTGAGCATTTTTAGTTAACCTGTACAGAGTACTTAGAGCTCTACCTGGCATGTGATGCGAGCTATTATTTTTATTATTATTGTCTTGGAGTTGTATTTACATAACCTCACATGAGATTCAGAATATGTCATTTGTCCCTATCAAAGGGGATACTGGTGGGGATAACTGGAGGCACCCTCTTGGCTCAAGCCCCCCTTTTCACACCCTACATGTGGGTTGGAGCCTGGAGCCCCTGCCAGGCTGGGTCATGCAGGCGGGGCAGGCTTTGGTGGGGGAGGCAGGAGGTGACCCCGGAAGAAAACAGACCCAAGCAGGGAGTCGTTGCCAGGGAGGATGCGACCTCCTTGTCTTTGATTGCTGAGCTGAGCAGTCTTCCCGGAGAATCACGGGAAAAATGGATATTTTTGGAAATGCTTCCCATCCGTTTGAAGATCAGATGCAGCCGGAGGGAGGGCATTAAGGGGAAGGCCTGGAAGTCCCAGCAGCACCTCGTCAGTAAATGAATTAATTAGTGCTTAATGATTAGGTACAGCTCTGGGTTCTCACGCGCTACTGATTGCATGGGCATGTTCCTCACCGTCCTGGCACTGGGGCACCTGGAAAGGGGGATCTGTCAGCCCTGCCTCCACAGCTAGGGACTGTCTCCACCCAGCTCCTCTCCTGGGATCACAGACGGAAGAGCGAGGGAGCCAAGAGAGCACCCCACCCAAACCTCCCACCCACCCAGCAGGTGGAGCAACCGAGGCCCAGAGAGGGCCAGTGCTGAGGGCTCCTTAGCCAGCTACAGAAGGAGCCTGGCTTCCACTTGAGGCAGGGCTGGCAAATCAAGTAGCACATATCCAGGCACTAAGGTCTGAAAACATTTACTTTGGGGCATGTCAAGTCACCCTTGGAGACGTAAGTGGAGGGAGCTCGTAGGGAGTGTTCAGGGCTGGCTATAAAGGCAGGCAGGGCTGCAGCCACAGAGAGCCCAGCTGGCCCCACTCAGGAGTTGGACTTGATAGGGAGCCATGGAAGGGTTGACTCCAAGCAAGGGTGTGACAGGGTCACATGTGAAATAAGGGTTAGAGAGAGGGGAACTTGGACAGGGGTAGTGGCACTGGGGATGGAGGGCAGGTAAGGTTAGACATGAGAATCACTTTGGAGGTGGAATTGACAGGACCTGGTGCCTGAGAGGGAGAGGGGCCTCCTCCTGGAAACCCCCCTGTCATGCACCAGCCCAACGCTGCCGCCCCCTCTAGGCACCCAGCACTGTGAGTGGAGCTGCAGGAGAGCTCCGACTCCCAGTTTGGCCCTGCCTCCAAGCTTTGTGACCTTGGGCAGTTCTCACTTCTCTGCCTTCATTTTCTAATTGTAAGATGGACCTATTAAATTGGAGGCCAGTCAGCTGTGCACCCCAAGCTTTCCTCTTCGGCCCTTCTGCCCTTCCTTCTGCCTGAATATCCTCCCCGCTCCCCTTAGTCTTTCTTTTCCTTCTGCGGGTTCCAAGCTGTGGTTGCAGACACATGAAGCTGTGTGCTCTGGCTGTCCCTGCCTCCTGCCCAGTCCCAATGCCTCCCCAGGGCCCTCCCACCCTCCTTGGCTGCAGCCCCCCACCCTAACCCACGTGGTCCAGCTGGTAAAGGAGAGAGGGACAGGAGAAGGAACTTGGGAGTTTTGAGATGGACAAAGTCTTAGAAGCCAAAGCATCCAGCCTCTCCATCCTCAGATAGGGGCCAGAGGGCCATAAGAGGTAAAAAAAAAAAAAAAAAATGTTCTAAAGGTCACACAGCAGGTCTTGGAGTAAACCACTTGGTGTCTGTGGTCACCCTTTGTACCCTCTTGGTGCTCTGAGCTCAAGCCCGCCAGACCCTAAAGGCCCATCTAGGACCCCCACCCTCCTCTCAGACAGGTCAGGGCCTCTGGCCTGCAGCTGTTGCTCTCTTGATAAACAGGAGCTGTGACTTATTGACAGGAGAGAGCAAATTAATTCTGACGGTGACAGGTGGCATAGCAAGGAGCTGCAAAGCTTGGAGGTGGAGGCTCAGCGCCTCAGGGGAGTGAGGTGTTTACACGGGGATCAAGTATCTGAACATACCCCGGGTCTGTCCTTCCCCATCCCCACCCCACCTGTGGGCCTGCGTGCGAGACCACGCCCCCTGGCTGTGGAGTGGGAACTGCGTTCCTCACTTCCTGGCTGGAGGGCCCTGAACAGTCTTTGTCATATGTCTGAGCTCAGGGTTCTCATCCCAAGGTTGGAGCTATTCTGATGGTTCCTGCCCTCCTCATGGGGTTGTTGGAGGCTCAAGCTGACTAACTCAATCTGTTAACTACAGAAGAAAGTGTCAGACACACCTGGATACAAGTCCAGCTCTATCTCTTACCAGCTGGTGACCTTGGGCAAGTTCCTTAACCTCTCTGAGCCTCAGGGGTCTTGGTTATATAATTTCCCGGGGTAATGGGAGAATTGGCAGTATGAGCAGGGTGCCCGGCAGAGCAAAACTGGCCTTTGGTAAATGGTGGCTGTACCCACGAGAGGTATTGCTATTGTCATTAAATTAGTTCCCCTACCTCCAACAAGTCCCAAGCTCTCCCCATCCTGCCCCCCTCCCAGCAGATGATCTGCCCTCCAATGCTCCCTTACTTGTGGTGTTGTAGCGGACACCGTAGAAAAAGGCAGGGCAGGGTCGAGCCACCAGCTGCCCTGCGGGGCTCCGCGGCCAGCAGGTGCCAATGAGATCCACGGATGCATTGCACTGCAGTCCTGGGGGCAGAGACAGCTGGTGAGGCTGAGCAAGATCCCCACTCCAGTGTCTGCCCCACCTCCCCACTGGCCCAGACTCGCACACCAATCAGGGATAGGACAGGAACAATGACCCCACTGAAGAGATGAGCTCCTCCTGTGCAGAGGAGACACCAGGGGAAGGAATCTGAATTTGATGCTATGGCACTAGGGAGCCAGAGTGGGTTCTAGAGCAGAGGAGGAGCAAAAACATTAGGAGGTGGTGTTAAAAGCTGAGGCCCTGGTTGGCATTTAGAGGAAAGCTGGACATGCTCCAGGTCCCCTGCTCTGTAGCCTCAGGACACTTCTCTTGGCTCATCACTTGGTGCAGACTGGGGCTCTCAGATTCCACAGCTTGGAACAGACCCAGCCGACCCCTGACCCAGCCCCCCTCACTTGTCTTTGGAACCATACCACATCTGCTCTGGCCTTGCAGGGAAAAACCAGCTAAATGAAGCTGGCCGACTTCCAGCTGGCCTGATGACCATTTACTGAACATACAGTTTGCCCTGGTCTGTGCTATGCCCTAGGAGAGGATTCCTGAGGAGACCATGGGGAGAAAGTGGAGGGAGACACCATCTGGGGGAATAGAAAGGACACTGAACCAGAGTCTAGAACCCTGGCTTCAAACTGAGCTGTGCTACTAATTTGCTGTGTGACCATAGGCAAGTCACTTGCCCTCTCTGGGCCTTAGTGTCTTTATAATAAAATGAAGTGGTTGGATCTGATCAGAAATTCTTAATCTCGGTTCATGGAAGCTTTACGTGTTCATAGAGACTATGGAATTAAATGAAAAAATTGGTCTATGTAAACAGCTATGTAAAAATTGGGATGTAAACAGCTGAATTAGAAAAAAGATGTCAAAGTTCCCCTCCAAATATTTACCCTTAATTAAAGAGCTTTTTGAAGTGTAGTTTATGTGTGTGTTGGGGCAGAGTTGAAGCCGCAGTAATTCTTCTGGAGGGTAGGGGGGCTTTTGGTCTCCAATGGGTGGGTGCTAGGCTGAGGACAGTCCTGGCACCCCTCCTGAAGCTGCCCCTTTTTTCTGTGCCTTTTGATGCCCTTCTCCTGCATAATAAGGCTGGCACACCAGTCCTATCAAGACCCAATGTGTCCAGCACGACAGGAAGGGGTTAATAACCTAGGACTGGCACAAGAATGCACAGACAGGCCAGGGAGAGCCATGAACCAATGTGGGGGCAGCCTCTTCAGGGCTGGGCATCAGCAGCGGCCAAGCCTTGGCTGGGGCCTGCCTGCCATCTTCTCCCCAGCTCAGCCTGCCCTGAGTCTCTCAGGAGACAGCACTGGGTTAGATTGGCATCTTTTCTCTGCTGGGTGCAGGGCAGTGCTGACCAGCACTTGTTCTAAATGCTAGTTTTTCTTTCTAATCAAAGCTATTCACAGGGCGTTCGTGCAAATCAGGGCTCAAGGGGCAGAGGCCTTGAGGCCAAGTGGTTTAATTGAAAGAGAAAGAAATCTGGACTGGGGCTTATTGGGTACAAGGAGACGGCAGGCCAGGCAGCAGGGGTGGGCCAAACCCTGGTGCTGTCCCACAGTACAGCATCCGTGAATGGTATTACAGAGTGATGGTGGGGGTAGAGGAGTGAGGAAAGCAAGTTGAGATTTTAATCTGTCATGGGTCGTGCCGATAGTGCTGAGCCCGGAGGACGGGGGAAGCTGGAGGCGTGTGGCCATGGGGAGGGAGAGGTAATACTATGAACTATAATATACTCTGATTTTTCAAAGCCCTTCTTCATATATTTCATTTGCTCCACATCCACCCTGCAATGTCATTATTCCCTTTTTACAGATGAGAAAACTGAGGCCCAGGGAAGTTAAGTAGGTTGCCCAAGGTCATGAGTCAATGAGTGAAAGAACCAGGACTCATAACCAGATGACTCGATATTGAGTGCTTTTTCTATTACACCACATTTCATGCCAAAAAAGGGAGCGGGGACAGTTGAGGAGGCAGCAGGGAAGGAAGCAGCATTTACTGAGAGCTGACTGTGTGCCAGGCACATGCCAGGTGCTTTATATATACCAACTGATTTAAAGACACCATCATACCTTCCTTGGTAGACGGTTCATTCATTCACTCATTCATTCATAGTACCCAGTGATGGGCAGATTAAATGGGATATCACGCACATGTGGCTGCACCTGGCACTTGCCTAACACACCTTCAGTCAGTGTAGCTTCTGCTCTTCCTCCTTTCTTTCTTCTCTTTCTTGCCTTGGACAGTTCCCCAGAGCCCCTTCCACAAAGAACAGAGGGCAGGGCAGGACTGGGCACCAGCCACAGCCAGGAACAGGCCAGAGCCAAGGCGGGGACTGGCCACTGAGCAGATGGCTCTCCTGGCCTCAAGGAACAGGCACCAGCCAATGCCTAGTGCTCTGACACCTCCCACAGCTGGTCTAGGTTTGGGGATGGGAGTGGGCAGGGCAACCCTATTTGCCCTTAGACTGTGGTACGTATTAGGGTTCCATAGCACCTACTGTGGATCTCACACCACCTGCCAACATGGGTGCTAATGCTCCCCGTTTTATAGATAAGGAGACCGAGGCCCGAGCAGTCAAATTGTTTATCCAAAGACACGCAGACATTAAAAAGCGAAGTGGGAATTTTTTTTGTTTTTTTTTTAAAAGATTTTATTGGGAAATTGGGGGAGGGGAACAGACAAGCTGCTGTCCTTTTGGTCTTCAGTCTAGTTGTGGAGGACCTCGCTTCACTGGCTCATGTTGGTATTATCAGTGCACTCTTTCTGGATGAGGCAGTAGCACACCGGCCATTGGATGGCCACTCACAGCGGCACATGGCAGCTCACGAAAGCACACGCCAGCTGCCAGCCAGCCCCACTGCAGCCTACACCGTTGCTGGCGACTCACAGCAGCCCAGCTTCTGGTCGAGCTGTTGTTCACCATCTTAGCTGTAGAGGGCACAGTGTCACTGGCCCTCATGTGGGATCTGAACCGGGGCCCTGCTGCTCAGAGCTGGCGTCCCAAGCCAACTCTTAACTAACACGCCACTTGGGCAGCCCCAAAGTGGGTTTTGAAAGCTGGTCTTTTGATGCCTGCCCAGGGCTCTATCCACTGCACCCCAGCTGGCCCCAGCCTGGGTAACTGGCCCTCATAGCATTTGGTTGCACCCATTTCAGCACCCTGGGTTCCTCCATGTTTCCATGCCTCTCTCCCTCCCCACCCCAAGGATGTGTGGAGGGGGTACAGGGGAACACTGCAGTGGAGGTAACTTTTACGTTAAAAGCCCAGAAAATCCTGGAGGGAATGAAAGTGTGAGTGAGAGACCGGAAGAAAGGGAGAAAGAGGCTGCAAGAAGGAAGACCAGAAACCAAATGAAAGGAGTCAGGGGACGGAAGTTCCCCCGCTCCCCCTCAGTCCTTAATAACAGGTGAAGGCCTAAAAGGGGAGCTGGGTGGGCGGGGTCCGAGGGAGGGGTGGAGTCAGGCAGGGCGTGGCCAATCATGAGCAGCGGACAGACATGCTCATACTTGGAAATGACAGCTAGGAAGTTCAATAAGGGTTTGGCTGTGTGGTTTTAGGGATTGGCTGAGCAGCGAGAGGCAGGGAAGGAAAAGAGGAGTAAAGGAAGGTGGAGGAAGAGGAGAAGGGGCCCAGAGATCTAGGGAAGGGAGGAGGCAGCAGGACTGGGGGCCTCAGGAACGGTCTTCCAGTCAATCGGGCGCTGCCCACTGGACTCCCCTACCCTATTGCCTAGTAGAGCTTCCGGCCATGTGCCCACTTCTGTGGCGGTTGGCAGCTCTCGCCCAGGATTGCAACCCACCATGCAGCAGACACCGGGGATCCTACAGGCTGGGCTTCCAGAAGGGTGTATAGGACTTGGGGGGTGGAGGGAACTAACATTTGTTGAATACTACTCTATACCAGGAGTTGTGAAGGGCATTTTAGATTATGAAATTCATGCCACTCATTCAATCTACTCAACCACTCTTTGAGAAGGGGGGGAGGGGGAGGGAGGCGGGGCAAATGGGCAAGAAGAAATGGGGAGAGAAAGGAAATAAAAGAGACAAAAAACTGAAACTAAAACAGGGTGGAGCAGACAGAACGCCAGGAGAAAGAGGTACAGAAAATAAATAAAAAATTCCCGAAGTTCAGGGAACTGGGAAGGGAAAGAAGTCTGTGTGTCACTCAACTTGGGGGCTGTTAAGGACCTCGAGGTCAGGGCAGTTGGGCTGTGATTCTTGGGCCAATGTCCCCTCTAGTTCCCACTCCTACAAACGTCCAAACTCTCCTGCACCCCTGGCGGTTATTTTCCCACCTGGATATTATAGATCTAGGGTGAGTGGCAGCTTGGACCAGAGTAAGTTAGCCTTGCAAATAGCCAAGCCAATCTACCAGCCCCCAGCTACTATTAGGAGCGAACTCCTCCCCACAGCTTCCTATCCCACAGCGTCCCTCCTGGTCAAGTAAGTTATGGATGGGGAGGAATACTACTGACTGCTCTTTACTGGAGTTTTTAAGGGCCACCTAAGAAATTTTCTAGGATACACTAATAAATAAAATAAATGCCCTGCCCTCAGTGATGGGGGGGTGGCAGTAAACAAACAGACAGGCATATCTATTAACCAGTGAGAAACGCTATAGAAAAGAAATAAGCAGAGTAAGGAGATAAAGACTGACTGACGGGGGTGCTATTTTAATTGGTGGTCTCTAAAGTACTCACATTTAAGCAGAGACCTAAGGGAAGTGAGGGAGGGAGCCAGGTGCACACCTGGGGTAGAGTGTTCTAGGCAGAGGGAACCCCAAGTACAAAGGCCCTGAGGCATGTGTGTGCTTGGTGTGTCTGAGGTGTTGACATTTCTGTCACTTGGTGGCTTACCCCCTCCTTCATGGGGCAGCTAGGTCCCTTCAGGGTCTTTTGGGGAGGTGTGGAGTGAAGTGGACTAAAATAATGCATAAGACTGGTCCTGTATCTTCCTCCTTCCCCCCACGTGCACAGAGCAGATACAAGGGGCCCACATTCCAATTGCCCCAAACACCTGCACATGAAGGGAAGAGAAGGCGTAGCATGGAGGGCTCCCACCTGCCTCTGAAAAACACCTGCAGAGTCAGAATCACGTGAGGGGCCTGCTTTAATGAACAGATTAGAGCCCTGTGAAGGTGGCCTATTTGATGCATGTGCATGACTGGACACTGGTTTCTTCCCCCAAGTAAGTTACACAGTTCCCTTCCATCAGTCTCAGTGTCCAAATGTGCTCAGCAGATCCTTCCATGGGAGATAACTTCAGAGGGACAGGCTCTTGTCCCAGTTAGGTCTCTCATCAGGGGTTTCTGAATAAACCAAAGTAGGCAGGCACTTGGCAGCAGCCCTGAGGCTGGGAAGCCCATCCTCCTGTTTGGTTTCAGCCCAGCAGAAGGACTCAGCCAAGGCTGTCCTGAGGGGGAGCAGCCAGATGGCCCAAAGGCAGCTTATGAAACACACGCGCTTGCCCATTCAGAGGAAGGTGCTGCTGGGATGAATGGGCAGGGGCTCTGCCTGTGTCACCTGGCATGGAGAGGGTGGCAGAGGGCAAGCAGAGAGTCCTACTCTTTGCTTGGCCACCTTATGGTTGAGCTGCCTTTTCTTTGGCTGGGCACACAAGAGAATGCCTTTGTAGGATATGCGCCTGATCTCCTCTGATCTCGGAAGCTAAGCAGGGTCGGGCCTGATTAGTACTTGGATGGGAAGGGTGTGTGATTTGACAGGACAAGTGGGTGGGCCTCCTGTCCTGTGGGTCTATGGGCTCTTCATCTTTGCACTCCCAACACCTAGCACAGTGCCAGGCATATAGTAGGTCTGGAGAAACATTAGGGGCCATGTGCAAACCCAATATGGGTATGGGGAACTGCAGGGGTGACTATGCACCCCGGGATAACTGACTATGCTGGGCCCCGGGTGTTGCCACGCAGCTGTCCAGCCGTCTGTCCCCCCGTGCGTACCCATAAACTGACCCTTTTGAGGACACTGCTCATACACCTTGTGTCTCCCTGTTTGGCCCCCAAAGAAGGCTGTGAGCCAATGACGGGTAAGATTCCTCGAGGAAGGAACAACCTAAGACAGGCACAGTCACATGGGGGCCATCAGGAGAAATCTCGGGGCTGATGGAGGTGGGCATAGGTCCTCACCCGCCCCCAAAGAGACTGAGGTCTTCTACCTCTGTAGCTACATTCCTTCCTGCAACCCGCTTGGGAAGTGACCTAATGATGTGATAGTATCTGTCCTGTCCTCAGCATAATAATCTTATCTCCCTGGGGTCATATGCACATGGGTGTGTGAAGGCAGAGCATTTGTCTGGTCATTCGGCAGACTTTCGGTAATAGCAGCTTGCAGGCATGAGTAATCTGTCATGAGCAAGTTCTCAGAAATGAGACTCACAGACTGTGGAGAGAACAAGGCTACTTCCGGGTATGTGAAGAAATAAAAGCTGTGTGTTGGCCCAATTGGGGGCTCTCAGTCCTGTGAGGCTGGAGACCCTTGGCCCCGCTCTCATTTAACTCTTGGCTGCTGTTTCTTTTCTTTCTTAACCCTTCGCCACCCCCTCTCGTTCTCTCATTGCCCTTGTCGTGCGGGACGTGACACCTGGGCACCACAGCTCTCTGGGCAGCCACATAAAGTGGTGGTGGAAAAGTCTGGAATCAGGCCTACTTGCTTCAAATCTTGGAATCACTGCTTAGTATCTGTTTGTGCTTGGGCAAGTTATTTAACCTCTCTGAACCTTAGGTTTCTCTCCTGTAAATTAGGGATAAAAATACTTTCTGACTATACTGTGATGATTGAATGAGAGAAAAGCACTTAGAATGGTGTCTATACTTAGTGGGCACTAAATAAATATTAGCTATCATTAATTATTATTATCATTTACTATCTTAAGACAGGGGATAGGAACTGATGACCCTGGGTCCCTGTCCACAATATGATTCCATTTGTCTCTGATGTCATTAGTCAACAATTCTATTACTTTCTGGCATTATCACACTCATAACATGATTTTATGAGTTGCCAAGTCTGTGATCTGCCAGGTGATGGCCCTAGGGACCCACCTTCTCCCTGCTCCTGGCATGTAAGAAACCCCCCAAAGGCCGTGGCTCAGTGCCAGCTGCCCCAGCTAGACGCCCATCCATCTGTCCTGGTCCCTCCAACCCACCCTCACCATCTGTCTCTACGAGTGCCCATTGGTCTGGGTAGGTCTCAGAGTCAGAAGACAAATAGTGTGTTATCAGAGGCCATTGTGAAGGTTGATGGATTGTGTGCCATGAAACCAGGCAGGCTGGGCCAGGCTGGGGATAGGGGCACAGAGTACAAATCATCGGGAAATGAATGACATTCATCATGCCCTGTTGCCTCCAAGGACAGGTTACACCTGAGAGGAATCAGGGATGTCACTCCTCCCAAGCACAATGAGGAAGTTAATAGAGACTGACCTTGCTCCAGTGCAGGGGTGGGGGCTTTAGGCAGGGCCTTTCATCTCAGGCCCAGCCCCTTCAGTTCTCCCTCTCAGTCTCTCTCCACTAGCACTCCAGACTCTTGCTCAAGAATTTCCCAGTTCCCCATGGCCCAGCTTAGCCAACTTTGCAGCGGGATGTTATAGGCTCCCAGTACCTCCCTCCCCAGACTTACTGCTCCTTCCTCCTCACCCCTGCCCTGGCCTTTCACTAAGTCCACCTGATGGACCTCAGTCAACCCTAGCTTTGGCTCAGAGCATTGAGTCTTCTCTGCTGGTCCATGCTCAGAGTCTCTTGGAGACTCATTTTGAAACCTCCTCCTTCAGGAAGGCTTCCTGGATTCATACCACCCCTGATCTAACCTCCCTGCCACCTCCACTGTAGTGAGCAATTCATGGCAAGTGCCTTCCCCTCATCTCAGCTATAGGGTTAAGTACTTTTAAAAGCCTGCAGCTGTTACCAACAATAGTAAGTAATACTCAGTATTGGTGTGGCACTCTACAGTTTGTGGAATATTACCACAAGACTGGGTGCATTTAATCATAAAGGATTCTCGAGACAGGTGCCATCCCCACAACTTGACAATAGGGCAAAGTGAGGCTCAAGGGGGTCAAGGGCATGCCCTTCCCTGTGGCTACCAGTGTACCCTGCCTCCAGCCAGGATAAGACGGAGCATCACCGAGGGCATGGGAACCCAGTCGGTCATCTCCAAGTCCAGCGCTCATCCCCCAAACCCCAGGACCTCCCCAGTGAAGACAGCAGGCCAGAGGCAGCGCCTCTGGGTTGTGGAAGCCTCCTCTCCCTGCAGGCCCAGCTTCAGAAACAGATGCCTGGCCTCCCTGCTAGCACACTGGGTCCGCTTCTCCACCAGCACGCGCCTTGCATTCTGCCTGATAGTACGAGTACATGTCTGTGGACTTGACTCCTGGACCAGACTGTAAGCCCCTCTTTGCTCCCACAGTGCCTTGCATGAGGCCTGGCACATAGTAGATGCTCAGTTAATAAACTGGGTTGAATCAAGGAGAGACCTGAAGAGGAAAATGAATCACCTAAGAACGAGACTCCCTAAGGCTCTCAGGTACAGGGGTCCTCCCACCTGGCTGGCAGCAGCATCCCCCGGGACCCTGGTGAAAGGGGCCAGGAAGAGGGCTCAGGGACCACACACAAAGTTACAAAAGGCATGACCTTGAGAGTCAAAGACATAATTCCCCCATGTAACTCTCCTGTGCCTCAATTTCCTCATCTGTACAAATGGATCTTAAACTCTTGTGAGTGTGAAATAAGATAACTATTCAAAAGCACTCTGTAAAAAAAAATGGTGAAGTTATGCAAGTATTAGTCATATTTGCAGTTCTGCAGTATTTTCACTGAGGTGGTGTCAAGCATGGGGCTGAAGAGAATATTCAGAAGCCAGGCTGCCTGGGCTGAAATCTTGGCTCTGGCAATTCCTAGTTTTCCTCTGTGCCTCAGTTTCCCTGTCTGTAAAATGAGGGTTACAGCACCTATCTCAGAAGGTCACTGTGAAAACTGGATTACTATAGCTCAGGTAGCTGCCGCAGCACCTGGCACATCGTTAGCCCTCTAAGCATTATGCTTCGGGCATTTTAATAGCACAAAACAGCAGCCTTTCTCCTCAGGATGCCTGAGCCACAGCTCAGCACCCCCCTCCACCCATCCCCGTTGATTCTCACAGCAGCAAGGGCTGGGGCCACTTCTCCTGTTGCCCACCCCACAGCAGGGGAGATACCTACTCAGGACGCTTGCCACTTGCCCCTCCTAGGCCCATGGCAGATGCTGTCGCCTAATCATGACTCTCCTTCCCACCACGATTTCAGGAACCTCCTCAACACAGCACTGCACTCCCTCTGTGGAGAGATGATGAATTGCTTGGGCCCTCGAGAGGCAATCTGTCTGCTTTTCCTGCCTTAGGAATATTCATGGCGCTGTGTGTGGGCCCTGGGAGACCTGGTAGGGGCAGGTGGTAGGGCTGTGGTAGGTGACAGGGCTGTGGTGACCCAGACGCTGGCAGGAGCAGGGTGGGGGCACTCACCAGAGATGTTGCTGACCAGGTACAGGCTCTCACAATGCTGGTCCTGAAGGGAGGTGGAGATGGGACTCAGCCCCAGGAGGAGAAGGGCCTGTGGGCACAGGGCGGCAAGGGACACGGTTAGACTGTGCCATCAGCAGGCTGGCCTGCAGCGTCTTGCCTCCCCTGTCCTCCCCCTCATATATGTCTCTTCCCAGACACCCGTCCCCACCCCCAGCCCCCATGCCCTCCTCCGCCACATCATCTCCACCCTGAAGGTCTGGAGCTGCCCTGTTCTCAGAGAGGCCTGGAAGGGAGTCCAGTAAGAGCAGGGGCCCAGGTTCCCAGGAGAGAGGGGAGTTTTCTCCCCGAGGGCTGGGAGTCCCCAGCGAGGAGGAAGGCCCCCAAATAAACAATCTGCCTAAGGAAGCCGCCTCCACCCCCATGGGATCCCAAGCATGGCCCAGTGCCCTGAGCACCATGGGCTCACAGATCCTCATTAGTGGGCTTTCCTCCCTCTCTCCCAAGCGGCAGGCTCTCCTGGCCTCTTGTTCAATGAGCTGCTTCCTGGGCCCTCATCCCAGCCCAGCTAATTACCAGTCCCTGCAAACTGTGCCTCACCATTTATCAAGCTGTTTTATATCTGCAATGGCACTTAATTCTCCCTGGAGCTGGTGTGGCTGTCCCTTTCTACAGATGAGGAGACTGGGGCCCAGACAGGTGAAGGGATACCGTGTCTGGAAAGATGGCTGCCCAATTCCAGGGAGAATCTTTGCCCCTTACCTCCCCCAGGGGCTCTGTGTCACGCTGATTCCAGAATTTCAGCCCACTTAGGAGGAAAGTCCACACCTAGAGGACTGCCCCTTCTTCAACTAACACCCCCACACAATCATTGTGTCCCTTCCCCTGAGGTCACTACCCTCCCAAGGATTTAGAGCCAAAAGAGACCTGGCATCCTGCCTGTTTTTCACTGTGTTGCCATGGGCAAGTTACTTGCCCTCTCTGTGCCTGTTTCCGCTCCTGTAAAGACAGGTATTCCAGTACCCCCTCCCAGGCTTTCACGATGCCCTCTATGTAGAAATCCTTTGGGATCAGCACAGCATGCTCCACGAGGGCAGAAATTTTGTTTTGTTCATTGCACTCAACTCTGCTGAATGCAGCAATGAACTATACCTCGTGTCTCAGGCCTACAACTGGCATTCAATAGGTCATGTTGATGGATTTGAACTTGATGATTTTTTATTTAGTCATTGGTTGGAGGCGAGGTGGTTGTTCCCCTGGGATTTGCTTTGTGAGGGGATAAGAAGCACAGCGGGGGGGGGGAGGGCTGGGGGTAGGGAGGTTTTGTAACCAGCTCCTTCCGCCAGTTGTCAGGACAGGGCGCCCGAGGACCAGCAGAGCTCTGCTCGCCTGACCTGGCTCCTGGGATGGTGAGCCTCATAGGAGGTTGTCTCCACATCACCACCCCTGCTCCCCTGCTCTTTCTTCCTGGGGTCCCCTCCCTGGGACCCTCTCCTGGGCCCCCTGGCCATGGTGTCCCAGTCCCAGCCCATTTTCACACAGTCTGCACAGCCCACTGCAGAACTTCACACACACACACACACACACACACACACGCACATGCACACGCACACGCACACGCACGGGCGTGCACAGATGTGGAAGCCGTCTTAGCTATCTCACAGCAGGAAAATGAGGTCAGGGGAGAGGGAGGGGCTTGCCAGGTCCCACTGAACAAGATGCTAGTTTAGACTAGAGCCAGGGTAGTGTCTGGCAGCCCACAGCCATCCTGCGCAGCCCCCACTCGCAGGCTGGGAATAGGGTGAGGAGAGTGAGGCACTCACCTTAGGTGCAAAATTTAAGGGGGACACTAAAAAAATTTAATAGTCAAGATACATAATATTTTAATGCAATTTAAAAAAATTCTAAATTAATGTAAAAAAATCCATGATGAACAAGATAGCAAAAACCTTTTTAAAACAGATAAGATCAATAACAATGCTGGGCCATATTGGAGCTTGGGGGAAAAGAAAAAAATCAGTAATAATATTAAAATATGATTTATCTTGGGCCGGCCGAGTGGCGCGATGGTTAAGAACTGGCTTGGGACGCCAGAGGGCCCCGGTTCGGATCCCACATATGAGGGCCAGTGACACTGCCCTCCACAGCTAAGATGCTGAACAACAGCTCAACCTGGAGCTGGGCTGCCGTGAGTTGCCTGCGACAGCGTAGGCTGCAGCCCCTGCTGCAGTGGGTTGCCATGGGCTACCGTGTGTAGCCAGCAGCCAGCGTGAGCGGCCAGCAGCCAGCGTGAGCGGCCAGCAGCCGCAGTGAGCAGCCGTCCAGAAGCCGGTGACTGATCTGCCTTGCCCGGGAAGAGCGCAATGATGGTGCCAACTTGGGCCAGTGAAGCAACGTCCTCCACAACTAGACTGAAGAACAAAAGGACAGCAACTTGTCTGTTCCCCTTCCCCCAATTCCCCAGCGCCGTTCCCATTCCCCAATTCCCCAATTTAAATATGTATATATGATTCATCTTGATTACAGAGATTTGGGGCACCGCCTTAAATTTTGCCCTTGCGGAGAATGCCTCGCTCGCCTCACCCTAGTCCTGGTCCTGCCCTGCTCATGTCTGCTCGTGTGCCTTCTTCTCAAGCTGGACTCCACCCGCCCCATCCCACCCCTCCCCATGGCTGTACATCCTCCTTTCCCCCCCGAACTCTTCCCCACTCACCCCTTCTGGACCTCAGAACTTTCCCCAGTTCTTAGAAGCAAGCTGACTGCCCTTTTCCAGAGGCAAGGCTTCTGTGCTCACCTGTTCCGAATGTCCTATCCTACCCTGCCCCCATCACGCCCCCCAACAGTGCCACCCATCCCTGGTACCTCCTCCTTCCCAGTCCTGTCATCTGCTCTACTCCCCTCTCTCCCACCCTACATTTCAAGGTGTGATGGAGTGCTTCCCACTCCTAGTCAAAGCCTGTCCCACCCCCATCTCCTTCAGAAAGTCCCCTTGACCCCGATGATCACACACATTGTCCTCTCAGTGCCCCTGCCTGAGTCTTTAGTGGGCTTGTTGACTATTAACTCGCTGGCACACTCCTTCTGTCACATCATAGGGGCCTCTCAAGCACACCCCCAGCCCTGCACCCGCATACTGTGCCCAGCACTCAGGACGCTCAGCAGACAGCACTGGGATTAGCTAACTTGTTCCTGAGACTCGGGAGTGATTAGAACAAACCCATTCAACGCTCTGGCCCCAAGGAACTTCCAACACTTTATTAATCAGTAATTAAACCTCACAGTCCCCAAAGAGATGGCAAAATATCTTTACCCTATTTTCCAAATGAAAATGCAGAAGTGGAGACAGGAAGAAGCCACCAGACCAGACAGTGGCTTTGGCTAGTTAAGCAGAGAGCAGTGTCCTGGTGGACAGACCTACACTGCTCAGCTCAGCAGTCAGCAGGGACCCAGCTCTGCACGGGCTCCAGAGAGGAGCTCTCAGCTGGGATAGCCAGAGGTTCCTTCTAGAAGAGGACTAGGAATCCCTGCCCCCAGTTTGTCACCCCACCCTATCTGTGCCACCTTCCAACACACACACACACACACACACACACACACACACACACACACACACACAGAATGGAAAGGGGGCTCCAAGAGCCAGCTCAGCAACAGGCAAATTAAACTGGAAATACCTTATTCCAAAATATCAGCCCCACTGCCTGACTTTCCACCATTATCTTTCTGATCCTGAAGCTGTGCTTTGTGCTTCGGTCTTAGAGCCCCCTTGAAGGCACACCTACTTCTATTCCCACTGAATTGCTTAGCACATTCCCCAGGACATCTGATCCTGCTGGTGTCCACACACCTGTAGCTTTGCAGTTCTTTGCCCTTCCTCATCCTGGCCCACCCTTCACCTGGTGAATTCTCCAGTCCTCAAAAGCCGGTTCCATGGCCCCTTCCCTTGGCGGCACCTTTCCCAACCCTTCAAAGCAAAGCAACTCAGTCACCCCATCAGTGGGTGCCATGTCCCCTCTGTACCTGCGCTGGACCCTGGTGCTCATGATGCTTGCAAACAGAGACCCCAGACTAGCCCCAGATGCGTGAAACAACCTCAGTATAAAGCACTTACACCCCAGGATTCTAATTAGATGATGAGTACACCAGCCAGGATGTCTTAGCATCGTATCTTAACGTCCTGGGTTTACAGAGGAGCACAGCAAATCCAGATTCATCATGAAACCAAACCAAATGCTACACGGCAAAGGGCTAACCTGTCCTTGGCTTGCTGCCTGTCACCGTGACCCTTATGTCTCCTTGGATGTGATGGTTCACAAAGTCATTTTCCACCAAGAGAGGGCCCTGCTTTGCATTATGCAAAGAAAAAGGCTTTTTAATATTCCCGAACCAACCTTTCCTCTCAGGAAAGGTCAGCCCTTTACAGACTCTGTGCCTATGCCATCTCTTGCTCCACGGAAGGGCTTGTAAAGACATCTGGCTTATTCCTGAATCACATTTCATGAAAAGTCCGGAGTTTTCCTGTGTATTTCCTCCCACATATTGATCCCCTATTCCACATTCACTATGGTTTTCCAGCTTCATCAACAGGCAATTATTGCACTGTAGGAACAGGCCCCAAAGTATCAAGGATGCTATTTGTTTCCTTCTAAAGCTAGGAGTTCATAATTTGGGGTCCACAACCACACAAAGGCGAGGGGCATGAAACGCTGTAATTAAATGCCGAAGTTGTGTGTAATGACAACCATTTCTCTGGGGAGGGTGCAGGGTGTCCTTTACTTCTCAGGGAGGTCTAGGCCCCCCCTCCCCCAGTATGGTTGGAGCACATGGTGAACAGGGTCACATCAGAGGCCTGGGGCTCTCAGACACGTCATCCTCTCTTAAAGCACACTAAACATGATTTTGACTTAGCAACTGCCACTTTCTTGGGTCCCTCCATCTGCTCCTCCCCTCCATCAGCAGCCCTAGCTTTCAGAATGATGTTTTGACAAACCAAGGTTTCAGGACTTTGTGAGGTTTACCATTTTCCAACAGCTGGAAGAGAACACGAAAATGGCACCGAGGGTCTGAGGCTGGCGGAGCGCTAGGCTCAGT